ATATATATATACCTGTATGCATCTGTACATGTTTTTTTATGTGTGTATGAATCAACCCACCTAGTTCTATATATGCACCGTTTACCAATTGACACATGTCATCCTCCTGCCGTCCCCTACCACCTTTACACCCGCAGGAACGACTCGACATACAGCACGCGTGCTTGCAGTCCTCTGGGCCAGCTGGATACCCTGTTGCTTCTGGTGGGGAGAACAAAAAAAAAAAAAAAAAAAAAAAAAAGATGAAAAAAAAAAAAAAAAAAAAAAAAAAAAAGGGCGCATTATCCTAAGCAGACTGCTCATTGCTACAACGGCATTATATACCCCTTTTTGTGACACATTCACCATTCCCCCCCATTCGCAGAGACATAACAACAGGGATGGTTCGTACGCACTCGAGTTCTTCAACATTGTGAGTGGCAAGGGGAGAGTGGTTCCCCTGGACTAAGCCTTCGCGTAAGGGGGGTTCTCAGGGTTCACATTCGGGGCGTCTTCTTTTTAAACCTTCCATTTGATCTTTTTGTAAATATTATTTGTTGCGCCTTTTTTTTTTTTTTTTTTTTTTGTGGTACATTATCCGGAAGGCATAGCACCCGGGGTGGAATGGGCTCCTAGATAATCCTCTGGCGCGAGATGGCGGCTGCGATGTTCTGTCGGAAGGAGGGCACGTCGGCCATTGGCCTCAGGTAGTCCTCTTCTCGCATGTTTTCGTCGCGTCGCTCCGTGCGTGTCTTATCGCTACCGCTATGATCGCCCCCCTGGTCGCTCTCCCCCTCTGCGTCCGACGGGAAGACGTCCCTCATGACAAAGTCCCCAACCGATTGATCAAAGCAGAGCTTCTTACTCAAATACACATATTGCTTTTTCTTTTTAAACGCCCCTTTCAGTTCGTTAATTAAAATTTCGCAGCTCACATTTGGGGGAGGCTTGCTTCCATGCGGGTCGGCACTGTGGTGTGGACAAGATTCACCCTCGATGTGTCTCTTGTGCGTGTCGTTAGCGCTCCCGCATGATGCATTGTGACTCTCCATTGGTCCATTAATATATTTATTACCCTCTGTGCAATTTTCCTCTTTTTGCGTCCTCTGGGGTTGCCTTTCTTTGGAGGAGTACTCCGCCGAAGTGTCTTCAAAGTTGGTAGTCTTCCCTTGCGTTGGCTCCTCATCGGTTCTACTTTCATACAAATAAACGGCATAAGTCAAGCCCCCATCTCTGTCTTGTTCCTTCCTTTGAGAGGTAGGATCACCATTTGAAGTTTCTCCCTCGATGTTGAAGCGCGACGGTTCCGTTTCGTACATTTCCCTCTCTCTGGGTGGTTCATACGTAGGTACAGGTTCTGGCTGGTTAGGTATTTCGTGCGTCTGCTTTGGCTTCTGCTTCACCACCATTTTAGAGGCATCCCTGGAGCGCTTACCTTTGATTCGATTAATTATGCTCAGGCAGAGGCGCAGTTTGGTTTGCAGCTCGTCGTAGATGTGGAGCTGTTCATCAGGCACGTCACCATCATCGTTATCTTCATCGTTATCTTCATCGGGGTGGTGGTCGCGCTCTGCACAGAGGGGCGCGTCTTCCCTTGCCAAGTCCTGACTCATGTGTTCTACCGATTCGATGAGCAGACGAAACAGCTCGTCTGATGCAGCCCCCCCTTCACAACATCGCTCGTACAGCTTCTTCTTTTCCAGGGCACGTATGTGATGTGTCAAAGTAAAGAGGCTTCTGCACAAGCAATAAATGGAAATGGTGGTGAAGAGAACGAGGTGGAGACAGGAGCAAACTTTCTTTCCTGTGTGTTGGGCAAATTCAAAAAAACGATGAAGAAGGGAGAAGCAATCATTGCTCATCATTATCTGATACTCATTTTCATATTTCACTTTGTACAGGTCGCGTATGTTTTTGTAGAGGGTCTGTTCGTCTGGGTAGGGAAGCTGCCGCTCCGGTTGGTTATGCATGCGCTCCGTGTGGCCAAGAAGCAATTCCCCTTTGTCGTTCTCCCCTGGGTGACCCAGCAGCGCCACGAACAAATTGAGGTAAGCCCTTCGCAAGACCCACAGATTACTCACCCTCCTGGGAGTCGACACAAGTTCAGCCTCTTCACTTATAAAATTAGAAAAAAACAGCCCATTGCATGGGGTCCCATGAGGGAAGAAGTACACACGGGTGAGGCATTTCATCATTCCTTGTATGTGACTGTACACAGAATCAACCATCGGACGCACTGCTTTGAAATTGAATTTGTTGCTTCCCTTTGTTCCTCCCTTTTGGCGCATTTGTAGGAGAAGCACTTGGATGAATTGCTGAAATACTTTTTCGTTTTTTTTATAAAGGAAACTCAACAACACATTTCCTACTGCGTGTTTTAACCACTTGGACAAAAGAAAGATCAGGAGTAGTTTTGCCAACAGGGGGTACCTCACCGAGAGGGGTATTAGAAGGTAGGGGAGCTTACGGAGGGGGGACTTCTCCCCACCCGCTGTTTGCCCCTTCCCTTTTATCCATATTTTTCCCGGTTGGCTTTCCTCTGCTGGGGAGAAGACATCTCCCAGTGTGTTCCTTTTATCCTCCCCCTTTTCCATTTCGTTCGATCACAGCGTGTGTTGCACTTTTGCAGTTTCACTCAACAGGTTAAAGTTGCATGGGTGGAGCGCCGTACCGCACAAGTGGGAAGAAAAAAAAAAAAAAAAAAAAAAAAAAAAAAGTGACACGCAAGGGATGCATGACACGAGTGTATCGCTGTGGTGACGTGGTGACGTGGTGACGCGGCGA